ATTAGTATTTTAGTTGCATGTTTCCATTGTTATTACCATTATTGCATTGGTCGCACGACCGTTTCTATTCTTCCTTTTGGGATCTTGCCGTGTGTCATACATGTTGACGTACACCTGTTTTCTCTAGTGTACGTCAGACTTAGAGAAAGAACAGGTCCAGCTGGGAGATCGCCAGGAGCCAGAGGATTCTCAGCATGAGTGCCTTACAAACGTAGCAGAAGAAGAAGCCGAAGCTTAGTCATTCCTTTCAGTTTGTTTTGTAGCACCTACATTTACTTTTGATCAGTGTATTTTCATATTCTCCAATATTTCATTCAGATAGTTTTGTATAAGGGCACGTTTGACCTGTATTATTATATCTCGGATGTTATCCCATTGTGATATGATATTTTTATTCTGAGTTTGTCTATTATATTCTTGCTGATTGTGATCGGGGACCTGTGACTTCGTATTGTATTTATTTCCAGACGCTTAGCGTATTGGATTGAGAATCGGGGACCTGTGACTTCGTATTGTATTTATTTCCAGACGCTTAGCGTATTGGATTGAGAAGAAAAAGGAAAAAAATAATAGTATATATTTTTTCTCAATCTAATACATCGCGTGCTTCTTCACGTTCCGATTCCCGGGTATTTTGGGAAGCGGGGCATGACATCATGCCCACAAACCATAGCTCTAATTCTCCTCCACTACCATGATGATCATTGTCCTTTCCTCTTCCTCTTTAGTCCCGCCACTACCAAAAAACAGTCAATCCTTAGTCATCATTGATCCACAGTAATATTATCTCCTAAATTAATGTCTATGAGTCCAGATGGTACTCTCTCAACCACAGCCAACTCCCCTTTACCGCCACTAGCGGATGGCTAAGTAGCCTTCTGTCATTCATCTCTGCTAGATCTCCAACAATGAACACGTCAATATCCTCAATCACTTGACAATCCTCCAATGAAAAAGTCCGAATCCGATTCCAATGGAAAACTTTGAATCTGAGTCTAATAAATTATTTTTGGTTGAGGTTTAGAGAAGTGAGGAGATCGGCCAGGATTTTTTTTTCACAAGATGTCAATTTTATTAGACAATTATAACATGTTCTTGTTAAGCATCAGAAATACATGTTAACTATACCTTATACATGTTAATTATAATTGGTTTCTGTTAAGTGTCGCATGTGTCTATTAATTATAATATGTTCTTGTTAAGTATCATAAGTACATGTTAATTATACCCTCTACTTGTTAATTATAACAGGTTCCTATTATGCATCACATGTGCATGTTAGCTATAACAGGTACACGTTAACTGCAAACTATTCCTATTAAGCATCGCATACCTATTAACTATAACATGTACATGTCAGCCAAATGTAGCATATACCACAAAACACCCACAAAAATATGTCACATAAAACGTAAACAAGTTATAATTATTTTTTTCATCTAGCTAAGCCTCATACTCAAAATCTCCCATCATTTGTTTATGCATCCCAATGTCATCGATTCATCCTCGGTTCAAGTACTTTCATAAAGTCGTAATAAGTATTAAAACTAGTGATAGGCCTAATTTCTACAAACAGCTCCAACATTTTTCTTGCAATACTTAAATAAAATCACTTAAGACTAACAACTACTAAATGATATTAACAACCACCTATAAAACTTAACATTTATATTGTAAACTTAATAAAAAGCATACATTTAATATCTACAAATAAAACTTATCAGTTATGGTCTTTAACTTAACATCCATTTATTTAAATTAATAAACAGAATTAAATCTAAACAGTTAATGTTTAAACTTAACATCTAAAGACCAATTATAATAACCAACGATAAATCTTAGTGTCTCATTTGATACGTGGGAATGAGTGGGAATGGAATGCAATTCTAATTCCTCATTCATGCATGCCAAACAAGATGCATTTTTGGATTATAGAAATGTCATTCTCACTTCTCACCAATTCCCACTTAATGTGGGAATTATTATTCCTAATGAGTTATTAAAGAATTGATATTCTCACTTAAATGAGAATAAAAATAATAAAATAAATTCTGGATATACTATTCTTAAAGATATTTTCACTTAATTCTCTAATCACACCTAAACATAAGAACGAGAATGAGTATTCCATTCCCATATCAATTCCATTTTTTTCATACCTTCATTCCATTCTCATTTGACTCTATTACCGCATACCTAACAATCCATAATAGTTATTCTCTTACCATAATAGGAATTCGTTAAAATTAACATCTATCAATAAAACTTAATAGGTGATGGGAATCCATGGAGAGTATATGCCAGGAGAAAGAAACATGTAACTGATTCTAGAGGATATTGATTGATTCTGGATGTATTCTCATGATCTTAGAGGTTTTAATTGATAGGATTTTATATTAATTTCTCCTTTTTCTAAGACTAGTATGTAAGACGTGCTTTGCACGTAATGCATATTAAGTAATCATATGAGACTAAAACATTCGAGGGCTGATTTATTTCTCTACATGAATTTGCATACTTGTATAACTAATATATTCATGTTTTCTTTTGTAAATGGGAGGTGAAGCTCATTTTTATTTAATTATTCTAATCAAATCATAGCCTTTCATTATACCATCAACTCATATCCAATCCTTCACTCAAACAAAACCCTACCTCAATTTAGAACCTCGTCGTCACTGTTCACGTGAATTGTGACCCGACATTGTTCACATCCTGCTGCAACCATTGTTCACGCGATCTTCTTCCACCTTCTTCGACACCGACTCTCGCAATTGTTCATGCCTTGCATCCGACTATTGTTCACATGAACAGTAGTCTCCAATCGAGTGTGTCGTCAATTCAAATCCAAGTAGTTGAGGGCTAGTTGGTTCTTCAGTTTCATGGATTAGTTCACCATTTGTAAAGAGCCTTTAATTTAGCCCTACTTTGCATCTTTGACAATTTGGGTGTTAGCTCCTACATACCTCTAGTGAATTCTAAACAAGACATCAATTTCCTACTATTAATCTTCCCATCTCTTGAGAGTTGTAGGGAGTTTATAATTATATTGAGCATTGATATTTCTGTGATTCCTCGCATGATTCATCACCATTGTCATTTTAGAGTTGCATTACATCTCTAGTTATTTGTTGGTTAGTTTGCATTTGCATCTAGTGCACACACGTAGCTCACTTTAGGGATCTCCATCCATGTGATTGCTTGTCTTCTTTGCATTCGTGTCCTCCCGCGTCCTGTCCTGCATCAACAGGTAATGTGTGAAATTAGATACCAAAACCAATATTGACAACCAATGTTCAAACTTTGCATTCATAGCTCACTCTAGGGATATCCATCCATGTGATTGCTTGTCTTCTTTGCATTCGTGTCCTCCCGTGTCCTGTCCTGCGTCAACAGGTAATGTGTGAAATTAGATACCAAAACCAATATTGACAACCAATGTTCAAACTTAATAGTTAAATTATACACTTTAACATGTATTAATGAAATTTAACAAGCAAAGATTCATCACTAAAATCAATAACTTTAATTGCAACTAATTTGTACAATTAAACCTATAACTGTATAACATTTACCGTTTAAAAATTTAACATAAAAACTCTTACATGTAATATTCATATGTTAAATTTCATAGATAATGGTACATAGTTCACGATGCACTAATACAACTACACATTTATCTATAACATTCTTTTAAGGCAAGGGTTGTTGGTTGTCGTTCAACGCTGATGGTTCTTGATAATGCTCTGTCTGTCGTGAGTGATGAACTATTTTTGTTGTAGTCTTTGCTTATCTTTTCTTTTGTTGCCCGCCTTTATTGAGATTGGAGCAAGCAAAACCTAACTCATGTCTACAGTCATCATATTCAACCAAAACAATAGAGAAAATTAAGTGAGCTTTCTAGCAAGAGAGACAACTTTGATGCAAATGGAGAGCAAATTGAACCAAATCAATATCACTTCTATCTTTTGGAGGCTTGGAAAAAAAAGGAGCTCCCGAATCTATTTACAACATTGATGCTTGTTTATTAGATGACTGACTACGCATTTTTAAGTTTTCACAAATGCTTGAAGAGGAGGTGGAGGAGAAAGACAAAGTTAGGATTTTGGGAAGGGCAGAGGGAGATGATGATTTTTGGGGGATTTACGGTGGCGACGGAGGGTGCAAAGGAGGGAGAGAAAGTTAAAAGTGAGTGACTAAGCTTGAAGATAAGTTGGGACTTTAGGAAGGGGGGAGGAATGTGATGAGATTTTGTGATATTTGCAATGTGAGAGAAGTGAGAGAAGCTTAGCTTGAAAAGGAGGAGGAAGTTAAGATTTTGGGGAGGCGAGAGGGACCCGATGAAGTTTTGTGAGATTTAGGAGAATGAAAGGCAGGGTGGTGTATATTTGGGATTTTAAAGAAATACAATGTACAAAGTGTATACTGCTAATGTGGAGGGGCTAAATCACATTGAACTTGAGTTTTAGGGGTTTTCCTCATAGGAAATTATATTGAGGGCTAGGCGGTGGGACTCATGAAAATTTTCCAATGGCCTGTTTGGATGGATGGTAGAGAGGGGGAAGGGAAGTGAACTTTCATTTAGGAGGGTAGATGAGGGGAATGGAAGGGAAAAAAAAAATTTGATCCAAATTCTTACATCCCAAATTAGGGTGTAATGGAGGGGAATGGAAGGAAGGAGAATTTTTTCCCTTCCTTCCCCTTCTTTCCCTCTACTAATTAAACTCCCAAACACACCACAAGATAAAAGGCTGAGTATTTGTCTTAAAATAAAAAATGATATAAGGCTGAGTCTACGTGGCCCATTTCGGCCCAATTTCATTATCGGGCAAAGGTGCTCATAAAACCCAAACTTCGGATCCACAAGTTGGCATCGATCGGAGCCCTAAGCCCTAAACCCTCTCCTTTCCCGGCTCCAAGTCACCACCGAAATCGAACCAGCGAGCAAGAGAGCAAACAATGGCGGCGGCGTCGACGGGGAAAGAATCTCTCCGCTTACCATGAGCGCGCGGCCGATGCCTCCTACGTACCTGTCTCCGTCCGCCGATCTCTCGCGCCACGCTCTTGGGCCGCTTCCCGCCATCTGTACTCCTCGCTGCTGCCCACTTATTGCCGAGCCTAAGCCACCCCTGGACGAGCTCTTGTCGGCGAAAGCTTCGATGCGGCAGCAAGATTTGGTGCCAGATCGACCTCGTCTCTGTCGCCCCTATCGTCTTCGATGCTCCGGCGGAGAGGTTAGAAGGATACGAGCGGCGGAGCCGCCGACGCCTTCGGCGGCGAAGAAAGAGGAAGAGAAGCACGAGGAGGAGGAGGAAGAAGAAGATAATGATGAAGAAAACAAAGAAGAAGAGGAAGAGGAAGAGGAAGAGGAAGTGGAGGATGAAGAGGACGAAGAGGGAAGTGATGAGGAGGGGGAGGAGGAGAAAGAGGGGAATGGAGTTGAGGATGGGTTCTTGAAAATAAAGGAACTGGAGGAATACTTGGAGAAGGACGAGGAGAGGGAGTACGGGGAAATCAAGGGGAAGAAAAGAAAGAAGGTAGAAGAAGAAGAAGAAGAAGACGACGAAGACGATGATGATGATGATGAGGACGGGGAGGATGATGATGAGGAGGATAACGATGCTGATTTGCAGGTAAGTTTGATTTATTATTATTATATGTTTTACTGATTTAGTTTTGCATTTGTTGCTATAATTCGCCGTTTCCTTTGTTATATCATCAACTGATATACAATTTTTTGGATTCAATCACAGAAGGTGTTTGATGTTAAATGATTAGGATCTGTATTTGATTTAAGGTCATTTTTTAGCTTAAAGATGGTTGTATAACATTTATGACTGAGGTATTCATTTATTCCAACTGAGTTGAGCTAGGCTACTATTAATAGTATTCAAGATGAAGGTATTATCAATCCAATTTTTAAATTCAGAACCCAAAAAATGGAAGTCCGTGGATGTGATCTACTACATATGAACTATTTAGATATACAATTTCAAAAGATTTCAACATCATATAACCTATGTATAATGTCTTAATTTTTCGCCTCTTGACATATGATTCAAAGCACATCGAAATCCTTTAAAATTTTATTTCTAAATTGATGTGATCTACTACGTATGAACTATTTAGTAAATAAAATTTCAAAAGATTTCAACATCATTAACCTATGTATAATATGTCTTAATTTTTTGCCCCCTTGATATATGATTAAAAGCACATTGAAATTCTTTAAAATTGTATTTCTAAATAGTTCATGTGAATTAGACCACAATCAAATCCACTGGCTTGGATTTTCATTTTTGGGTTACAAATTTCAAAACTGGGTTAATAGTATCCACATGTTGGGTACTATTAGTAGTAGCCTAGCTCAACTCTTGCGATCTTCTTAATAAGTAGAAGTAATTACATGCTGGAGTGTTTAATATTGTTTGTTTACAGTTACATGGGTACTTCGAAAGTCAGAGAACTGTTACGCCTTGAATAATTTGAGTAGAGTATATATTTTGGAGCATTTGTGCTTTTTTGATGAAGGAAAGATGTTGCAGGTCAATACTATCAGTTTAAGAGTGATGATTTGGATGTGAGAGACGTAAAGTTCCATCACATGGGTATTATGATATATGTGTTGGTGGATATTTTTTTTATGGGTGTGACGGTTAATTTTAGCA